GCAGGAATCTAAATCAAAGCTGGTTTTACAGTATTTAAGTAACAAAAACTTTCCCAAGTGTCCTCATAAATGATTGAAGCTGAATATCTGAGCAAGACTGGTCTTTTTATCTTCATACTGGTGTGCGAAATTCCTGTAGTAATGCTTCCAAAGGCACACATAGAGATGGGTGGCCAGAAAGCGCTAGAAGGAGCACCTGAAATGGCTGACCTGAACTTCTAACCTTAGAACCATTAAGAAATTTGCCAGGTTATCATAATTTTTTTCTAACCTTTATCATTGAGTAGACATCTGTCTTGAAATATCGTTTGCGCTGCTCCTCCTGTCATTCCTGCCAATGTAGTGGTGTTTGAGTTTCCTGTTGTTGCCTTGTTGACCCATGTGGACAGAAACTGCTGAAAAATGGTGCTGCCAACTATGCAAATGACTACTAAGTAAAAAATACAGTAAACTGAAGAGCAGCGTTTCTTTTTCAGACCCTCATTTCTACTTCTCTTGCGATACATAACTTGCAATTAAAAGAGAAGAAAAATATTTCTGCATTTGTGGCTTCTTAAATTGATGTCTCTTGTGAAGTGAGTTTTCAGCTCAACGTCTGATTGTGCCCTTCTTAGTCAACCAGTGTAAAGGTTTGTGATCCAGGTAAAAGTAGCAATGACTAAGAACAGTCAAAATTTGAACTGCTAGTGTAGTTTTTTGACTCTTTTTATCAGAAGTGGACTTGTATTATTTCTGCTGTAATGCTTCTATGTTGTTTTATGTGCTTTACTTTGTGTGTTTCAGTGTGTTTATCAGAAATCCTGCTTTCCATAATTTGTAATACTGATACAGTCTTTTATCAGGGCTCTGTTTTAAAAACTACCAACACTGAGATTGTTTCCTCAATCTCTTCTTTGCATTGCTTAATACAAGTCAGTTTTTGGAGGTCATTGATAAAAACGAAAGAGACAGCTGACACATAAGAGTCTGGTAAAATTAGAAAGGACGAGGTGAAGCTTTTACCAGCTGGAAAAGACAGTCTTAACAAATCAACACAAATTTCTTGAGCTGCTACATCAAATTCTTTCAAAAAGCATAGTCTGTCTGTTCTCCCTCTTTCCACAAGTTGCTTAGGTAAGGCTGGGCCTGCTGTGTTTCCTGATCTGCTTCAGTCTTTGTCAAGCACTGCCAACACATCATAGCTCTCTGAAGTTGGCCTGGGC